CGGGAAGTCCTGGCCAAGCGGGGCTTATGGGGGACCCCCTCAGCCTCACCCCTTCTCCTCCTCTTGCCTTCCCCAGGGGCGGTTCACCATCGCTGCCAAGCACCACATCACCATTGCTGAGATCTACGAGGCGGAGCTGGTGGACATTGAGAAGGTAAAGGTGCCACAGGGGCTGCCCCGGGGGCACCAGGGCTCCCTCTGCCTCCAGCTCTCCCCTAGCCTGATGTCAGAGGAGATCTCCTCAGCCCAGGGCTCTCCCGGGGGCGTTCCTGGCTCTGCTGTGTGTGGCAGGGCTGGCGGGAGCACCCCGCTGAGAAAATGAAGAGTTCAGGTGAGAATCTGTAGGATTTTGGTTGGAAAAGACCTTTAAGAACGTGGAGTCCAACCCATCCCCCCAGCACTGCCAGGTCTCCACTGCCCCGTGTCCCTCACCCCACATCTCCACGGCTTGGGAACCCCTCCAGGGGTGGGGACTCCACCACTGCCCTGGGCAGCCTGGCACAGCCCTGGGCAACCCTCCAGGGCAAGAAATTGTTCCTCAGCTCCAACCTCAACCTCCCCTGGGGCAACTTGAGGCTGTTTCCTCTTGTCCTGTCCCTTGGGAGCAGAGCCCAACTCCCCCCTGGCTCCAGGCTCCTGTCAGGAGCTGTGCAGAGCCAGAAGGTCTCCCCTGAGCCTCCTTTGCTCCAGGCTCAGCACCCCCAGCTCCCTCTCTCTGATTTGTGCTCCAGACCCTTCCCCAGCAGCTTTGTGGTGTTTAGATCTGAAAAGCACTTTGGGAATGTCGTGGGGGGGTGCTTTTATAGCTTTTTATTTCCTATCTATCTATTTTTATACTTTTATTTTTCTGATGCACCCAAAGGCAGCTGCTGCTCCTTTGAGTGCCCAGTTCAGCACCCACCCTCTCTCCTTCCTGCAAGCCCTGAGCAGCTCAGCTGGCTCCAAATCTCCTCGAATCTTGCAGGGATAAAAAGAAATATGGTTTCTAGAGACTATTTTTGGGGGGATCCTTCCCTTCTGCAGCTGTTCCACTCCCACCCCTCCCCTTTTGTGCCCCCCAGGCCATCGCGCACTACGAGCAGGCTGCCGACTACTACAAAGGAGAGGAGTCCAACAGGCAAGTGGGTGCCCCCGTTGGGGTGCCAGGGCCTCATCCTGCCCCTGGGGAGAGCTGGGAGGGGTTGGAGGGTGCTTGGTGTAGCCAAAGGGGCCTCGTGCCTGGTGCAGAGACTCCCTGGTGCAGAGACAATCCCCCTCGCTGGCAGATTTTGGTCCCCGCTCCTCCCCGTGGAGCCCTCGGGGGTGCCAGGCAGGGGAGGTGCCAGGCAGGGGAGGTGTCAGTCTGGGGGTGTTTTTTGGTGGCTTTTCTCCAGGACACAGCTCTGACTTTTGCTGCTTTTGGTGGCTTGCAGCTCGGCCAACAAGTGTCTGCTGAAGGTGGCCGCCTACGCGGCGCAGCTGGAGCAGTACCAGAAGGCCATAGAGATCTACGAGCAGGTGAGACCCTCGGGGGGCACGTGGAACGTGGCCACCCCTGGCCACCCCGTGGCCTCCGGGCACCTTCTCTGGCCCTGGGGGGGCTGAGATGTGGTTTGCTTCTCGGCTTCGAGGAGCTGCTTTAACTCAGAAAAGGGGTTTGGTGGTGTTTTTTTCTTTGAATTCTGATGTTTTCAGAGCAGGGCTGTGGGAAGCAAGCCCAGAAGGATGCTTTGGGTTGTATTGTTCTTCCCCACCCCTCAAGACCCCTCTTGTTGTGTGCCCAGGTGGGGACCAACACCATGGACAATCCCTTGCTCAAGTACAGCGCCAAAGAGTATTTCTTCAAAGCTGCCCTCTGCCACTTCATCGTGGATGAGCTGAACGCCAAGGTGGGTGAGCTCAGGGCTCTTCCACGTCCCCTCAACATCCCCAAATGTCCACGCCCCATCCGTGGCTCTTCCAGGGGCTGGAGTCAGGAGGGGATTTCGGGGGAGCTCTTGCCCTTGGGGTTACTTGGGAGGACTTCCCTGAGCTCCCCGGGGTGGTTTTAGGGCTTGGGAGGCCAAGAAAGAGGCGCTGAGGAGGGAGTGGGTCTGTGTGGAGCAGTGTTGACGGGCCCCGGGGTTGAGGGGCAGGGGTGGGGGTGCCCTGGCAG